AATATAAGTTCCAGTAGAAAACAACATGATTTTTACCCTAGGAAAACCCTGGAAAGGGAAAAAGTTATGGGACATAGCCCAAACAAAATAATCCACTATGTGATTATAAGTACACATGATCACTCTTTTCCTCAATTAGAGAATATGAAATTACAAATCTGATAATCACAAATGCACTATAATAGACATAATTGGGTATATCATATATAATTCTTGGCTATAAAAGCAATTGTTGGCTACAAAGGCTGTATTTGCTTACTACCAAGGCAATAGTTGGTCATAATGGCTATAGTTGATGGCTACAATTGTATCAGTTGGCCACAGAGGACAACATAGCGAAAAGTTGTAACATTAGTAGTTGGTCACAAATGTCATAGTCGGTTGGATAGTGGTTCGTCACAAAGGTTGTAGTCAGTGGTTGTAATAACATCAATTAGGCATAAAGGCCTTAGCTGGAAGCAGCAACATTAATAGTTAGCCACAAATGTCGTAGTTTGATACTACAAAGATAGTAGTTAGCCATAAAGGTTGTAGTCAGCGGTTGCAATAATGAAATTGTCCACAAAGGCCATCGTTGGAAAGTGTATCAGTACTAGTAGGCCACAAAGGTCGTAGTTGATTGGTTGTAGTTGATGACAACAGTAGTGGCAGCTCACCATATAGGTTGTAGTTGGAGTTTATGCCAGAAGTAATCAGACACAAAGACTGTAATTGGTTGCTATAAAGGCAGTGGTTAGCCATGAAGAATGTATTTTATGACTGCAATAATTTTAGTTGGCCACATATGTCATAGTTCAAAGTTGTAATAGTAGTTTTTAGTCACAAAGGTTGTAGTTAGTTGCTATAAAAACAACACATGGCTACAGAGAATATGTTTTGATTATGATGATAGCAAATAGTGGACAGTGGGGCCTGATGGTTAGCATTAATAGGTAGTATGGTGGTCAACTGGCTATGGTTGATGGTGGTTTGAGGCTACAGAGGCTGATAGTTATCACAATGTCTTTAATAAAGGTGTTAGGCACAATGGTCATATTCAAACTTTGCAAATAGAGGTTTCTGACAGCCGATGGCTGATGATGGCAGATAATAATGGTCTGTGGTGGTTGACGGCTGCCAAAGTGTGAGGGTCGACCGTGGCCAGTGGCTACATATTCCAATGGTTATCGTCTGGTTTTTAATACATATGCTTCAACAGAAGGTTAACATTTTATATTTCAAGTGAATTCCTCAGTAATACCTTTCCCCTTATAGCAATGCTCCCTGTCCTATCGAGCCCTCTCATATAAATTCTCTTTCATTTGTTTTCCCTTTCCTGACTCCCTAGGGTGGCCTTACTCTCTCAGCTCCCTTGATAGTTCTTTTACAAAAGGGGACCAGGCAATAATATTCCCCTACTTAGATGAGCCCTCCTTTGTTGGCTCATCTTCTACTATCCCTATCGGTGATTCTTGGAGAGAAATCTTAGTGGTGTTGCTCTTTTATGCTAAAGATAAGAATCTTTGATAAGTCACTTCTAGGGGTCACCCATCATGTCCTTGGAAAGCCTCACCTTGTTAGCAGCTCCATGTCGAGCAGATTATATGTGACCAGTTGGCTCGCGATCATTTATAATATCTTTAGTACATGCAAATGATATTTCTTTTTAATAAGCGAGTCACTTAATGAAGACTAGCTCATCCATTCCCTTAATCTGAAAAAATGGTTGAGTGATATAAAATGTAATATAGAGTTTGTTCTTATAGCTTCATCTAAGCTCCACACTCAACCAAATCACATAGAGTTTTATCTTATAGCTTCATCTAAGCAAGACAAATCAATCTATACGGTTAAGTGCACATGCATTGTTCATTTACTTTATAAAGTTTGAAACTGAGAACAATTTTAAGGAAATCGAGCCATTACCTTCTCTAAAGAGGTGAGGCCTTGATTAAGCTTGATAGAGAGGATCTTTCTGAGGTTGTGCAGCTGCTCTCTGCTTCAATTTAGATTGAAATTGTTCCTAACTATAAGCTAAACCAAAGAGGGCCACAGTTTGGTGTTGAACTATGGGAAGGCTTAATTTCAATTGGGGAAGCTATGATGGGCATCTGTGAAGCTTCAAAAAGGTTCAATTGGGAGTTTGCAAGATTTTAATGTCAAGATCATAAACGTAGGTTTCAGTGGAGGAATTAAGGCAATGGGGATGATATGGAGGCTTAGAAATAGTGGGAATGGGTTGCTCTAGACTGTGAGAATGTTTTTTTTTTTTTGGTTTGAAGTTAGGAGTTTGGGAGGCTGGTCAGTGAGCTCTAGTGTCTTGTAGAGCTCTTGGGTTACCCTCCTTTTATAGCCATGGGAGGCTATGAGAGAGGCCATAGATGGCTTGGGGAAGCTCTAGTGGCTCATCGAGCTTGGGCAGAGGAATTTCAGAAGCAATGGAGAATGCTTCTCCATTTTTGAAGTGCTTGACCATGGAGTCTCCAATGGGGAAGATGGTGGCATGGACAAGGCATGAGGGCATTAGGGAGCTTTTGTGTGGTGGCTAGGATCAGCATTTGTCCCCCTTCAAGTGATTTGGGTGGTTTTGACTGAAGTGACATGTGGTGGTGTTTTAGATAAGTGTGTAATTTTTGTCTTGTTTTGTTTGTTTTAGGTTAAATTAATTTATTTAAACCTTTTGTGTCATCCATGTGTTATGGTGAGCTTATGAGTCATAGTAGATCTTATGGGTCATGGTTAACCCATGCAGAATAGGCCATGAGGGATGGGCATGATGGCTTGGATTTGGGTTTGTTTAGGTGGTTTGGCCTAACCTAAATGATTTTTAGGTTTAGCCCAAAAGACTGGGTTTAGTGGGTTGTCATAATTAGCCTTATCAAATATCTAGTTTAATTATGAAGATTGCCTTGCTAATTTAATTTTGATTTTTTAAGTGACTTTGGTCTTAACACTTTGAATCGATTTTGGTTTTATTTTGATGGGCTTAATTGTTCATTAATTGATTTGATGGGCTTAAATGTTCATTAATCGTTAGCTAACCATGAACTTGTTGACTGAATACTGGCTACCTACATGCAAGAAACAGACATTCATGCCAACAAACTCCCCAAAGATCCCAAAAAAGTTAAAAAATAACTAAAGAACAAGCATGTCGACCAACCATCTCTCTCAAAGTGAACCAGCTTCCTAGGGTGAAGACCAACCGACATCCATGCAAAATAGCTGATCGACACCAGCTCGTCGACCGACTCGATGACCTGCCGACCATATGGTCTAGACACATTAAGGGTTGTCAAAATGAGTTGAAAATATAAAAAACATGATAAAAGAATATAATTTCCAATAACGCCCTTATTAAAGTTGAGGTAGAAATGTAATTTTCACCTTACCAACTTTTATCTTTTATATTATGGTGTTTTTTTGCTTTCCTATCTGGAACCATACTTTGTATTGATTTCTCTTTCCCATTTTCTCTTGTAACCTCTACTTACAATGTATAAATTAGGTTGCATAATTCAGGAAAGTCTATGTGTGTTATTTTATTTATTTCTTCCTCCCTCTACTTCTCCATCAAGATTTCTACCACTCCGAATCTTTGTCATGTTTCACATGACAGTTTTGGATTCAATATTAACATTCATTCTTGCTCATTATAGGATATTACTATTTGAGCATAAACATAAAATTTTACACAAAATCTCATTAGAACTTTCGTCTTAACCAATCTTCTAAATTATTTCTTTTTATCTCAATATTTGATTCGCGCTTTTTTTCCAAATAACGTCTTAGTAGGATCCTTATAAACTAATTTTTCAAGCTATATTAATTTTTTATAAACAAATTTATAAGTGATAGAAATATTATTTAGCATAACACCACTTTATATATTAAGTATCTCTTACATATAATTTATCACAACAACATCCATACTGATAACATTCTTAAAAGAAATATTCCTTAGCATAATTAATAAAAGAAATCCTTACTTAAGTCATGAATGATTAATATATAGTACACAAATCATAAATCATATATTGCTTCTACTCAAAATTTCCAAAAGAGAAATAATGGTAGTGGGATATTCTAGGGGAATTCTTTTCTATCAAGATAGACTTGGATGCATAAATATTTATATTGATTTAGCACTTTATATGATATCTAAAGCTTGCTCTAACCTCAGCACAAATCTAAAGGAATTCAAGCCCTTCATGATGGGATTTCCATCACCATATCCCCACATAAATTTTTATATTTAAAAAATTATATCTTCAACTAAATTGCCAAACACAACATTTTCATAAAAAAGAGATGCATTGTTGTTGCCCAAATGCTATCTATTTTTTATTTTTAAATTACACCCTCAGCAACTAATCACACTAACATAATATATACTCTATATAAAATTAGTCTATCACATAAGTGTATTTTCATGTGCAACCTTCAAATAGTTAGGGCTTTACTAAACCTAAAAATCAAGTTGAAATACATCAATAAATCCTTTGAGAAAAAAAGTAATTTGCATATATGCCACAATATTATTTTGTATTTATATATCTAACCCCTAAATTTTTATTTTTACTTGTATGTTGCCCAAATCTTTAAATGACAATAAAAATACTACTAATATTAACTTCTCTCCGATAAATCATGTATATGTCTATATGATTTTAACAATAAGGCGGTGTTTGGTGCATCTTGATTTAATGTTAAATAGTATACATCAAAATTCAATAAAAATTGAATTTTGTCAAGAGTTGCTCCTGAGGATGAAGTAAGTAAATCTAGCTCTCTATAAAAAGAGATAGAATGCACAAAATTTTAGTTTAATGGAGCTTTGAATTTGTTTTGTGCTTTATTTGATATTTGATTAGATTTACCTTAAATTTATATCTAAATCCTATTTAATAGTGCAATCAAATGGAGCTTTGAATTTAACCTAATGAAGATAGAAATAATGTGATCCCCACTGTGCAGGAAAACTTTGCAGAGCCGGATAAAGCGCACCAACTGCAACCCACTCTCCTCTGTCCCCAAACCAAAACAGTAAAAAGGCAATAGCAAACCCAAATCAGTCATCTCTCCTCCCTCTCCTCCTCCCCTCCTCTCCTCTTCCTGTCATAATGCTAACCTCCATTCTCTCCTTCTTCAACGCATACCCTCCACACATCTCCACCTCCTCAGTCCTCCTCGCCGTCTTCTTCACCGTCTTCTTCACCTATCTCTACACCCCCTACTGGCCTCTGAGAAGCCTGCCTGGCCCTCCTCCTCTTCCTCTCCTCGGCCACCTTCCTCTACTCGCCAGGCACGGCCCTGACCTCTTCACCATTCTCTACAATCGCTATGGCCCCATTTATAGGTTCTCTCTCGCACTTCTCTTTCTTCTGCATATCTGCTCTTTCAGAAAATTAAAAAAAAAAAACAGTTTTTGATTGTTTTTTTGTAGTAGATTTCATATGGGACGACAAGTTATTGTTATTGTGGCGAGTCCGGAGCTGTGTTACGAGGTGGGAATCAAGAAGTTTAAGAGCGTTAATAGGAGGAGTGTTCCGCCTCCCATTGCCGGGAGTCCTCTGCATCAGAAAGGTCTCTTTTTTACAAGGTTGGTTAAAGATGGACTTTTTAGTTTTTCGGGCTCTTTTTATTTTGTTTTCTCTCGTGTTTTTTGTTGAAGTTTTATTTGAAAAATTTATATGCATGCCACTAAATTTTTATGTATTTACATATTTAATGTCAAAATTTGGCTTTTTTTTTATTTATAACATCGAAATCTTTCATTTCATATAAAAATATAGTTTTTTTAACTTTTAAAAGATAAAATATATATTTTTATACATAAGTTGGCATATATATGTAAATTAAAATTTGTGTGTTAGATAAATAAATACAAAAAAAAGGGTGTGGTATGTGTGCAAATTTGGAAGTTTCAGATTTAAATCATAGTGTGTATAGCTTTATTATAAAGAAGTAATGTATAACTTTGATGTTCATTGCTTGATCATTCTTAGAGCTTCAAATGAAACAGTTGAGACGGGCAGAAGCATGTTTGGGCTTGAGCTCATTTATTAAGAGGCTGTTTGAGTTCGGCTCTAGCTTGATTCAAATTTTGAAGATTGAAATCACCATCGAGTTGTTCAGGCTCTGATAGAGCTCGATTTGTGCTTAGTTCATCGAGATTATCGAACTTATTAACAAACAGCTAGTTTAACAACATAATCGAGCCGTAATTGAATCTTAATCGAGCTTTACACAAGCAGCTTGTTCAATAAAATAAACAAGAGCTATTAAACAATATTCATTGTGCCTAAAAATAAAAAAAAAGATTAAAAAATATTGTTTCTGGCCAATTGTAATCGGACTATACTCGAGTCTTAAGCTAACTTAGTCGCTAGCTTTAAATGATAAATAATAAGTTGTTGAAAATAATTCATTAAGTAGATGACTAATTATAAAAATAATCAAATTTGTTTGATTAATTAATTAATTAATTATTAATTATATTAATTGAATAAAGCCATAAATAATTTGTGGAACACATTCATTTGCGGTTCTAATCATTCCTCGAAATCTTAATCCAAAGATTTTTCTGAAAAAAAATGGCTGAGAATAATTTAAATTAAATTAAAATAAAATAAGACACGTATCATATGACGATTGATTAATAAACAAATAGAATAATACTCTTAGTGGGGTAGAGCAAATTCGCATGGAATTTATTGTACAAAAAAAGCATATTTGATATGACCGAGCAATTTTTCTGTCCGGAATTCGGATGTGCGGACAAAGGTCGCGATGCAGCGATACAGCAGAGATCCAGTCGCGATGCAGCGATACAGCAGAGGTCCGATCCTCCGCTGCATCGCGACTGTTGTCCGCACATCCGAACTCCGGACAGAAAAATTTGGCCTTGTTGAATGTCTTTATAAAATTATTTATTTGGGATTATTTCATTAACAACGTTCCATTTGTGTTCATTGTACCAAACTTCATAAAATATTTATCGTAAATAAAAAATTCAACTTTATTTATTTAAATTAATAAAAATTATATAATTAGTTTTTAAGTTTGAAAAGATGAAAAATAAATAAAACAGAGGCGGCTTCTCCATGTCTCATGCCTATGATTTTTGGCCGGTTGACAAATTGATAGACAGCGATTTTGAAATGTATTGAGTGAAAAAAATCTATAAAAATCTAAATCATATTTGTTATTAATATTCCATCTTTCATTTCATTGTTTGCTTCATATTTTGGCATAATTTTATGTATTTTATGCAAGAAAGTCCCTAAAACTGAACTTGGGGATGTATTTGAGGAGTCTCGGCATGGTGCCTCGGTACTGCGTCCAGTGCGTGAGCGTTTTTCCTGTCCGGTCATCGGATGTGCGGACAACGGATGAGAAGCAGCGGTGACTGAAAGTTCCGGTCACCTCTGCATCTCGTCCGATGTCCACACATCAGGGGACCGGACAGTAAAATTTGGCCCAGTGCATAGATGCTATGATCAACATCTTATATTAATTGTTCCCATGAGTTTATCTGTGTATGTATGGGGTTGAACATATCAATTCATTATTAGTTGTCCTTAAAATAGAAGAAAAAATTATGAAAAAACTTATCAAACATAAAAAAAAACATGTCAGGGACTTTACAAACTCTATGATAGAAGAAATATATCAAGGTATCAATAGATCTACCATACAGGCCATTACTTTTGTGCTTAAACCCACAATCATTCAAACTGTACAAAAGAATCAATTTTGAGGATCAAAAGTAGAAGACCTGAACCTACACATAGCCAATTTCTTGAAAGTTTGTGCAATCTTGAGGTATAATAGTCTTTGATGATACTATTAGGCTTATAGGTTAGTTCAATTTTCTTTAAGAGACAAGACTATACCTTGGCTAAACTTTATCTCCATGATCTATAACCACTTTTGACTTAGCCAGCCTAGAAATTTTTAGCAAAATAATTAGTGCGAGGATATCTAACCAAAAAATAATTAGTCCAATCCTCAATTTGCTTTGAAATGAATGTAATACAAAAATTGGTTCATCATCCAATTATTACAACTTTTGTCTTAATTTTTTGTCTTAATTACATGCAGATCATCCTAAACTTACTTCATGCTCTTTCATCCATTTTTTTTCAAATTCCCCCTCAAATATTAGAATTCAAGTTAAAACCCCAACCCATATTTATCATTTTTATCAAATGCTCAGTTGTTTGATCGTGGCACGTGTAATTTCTCAGTAGTTAAAAAAAAATCACCTGAATCATTAATTTGTAAATATCAATAATTCAGGTGGTCTCTACATAATTATCTTAAATGTTATGAAATTTTTTCTCCTTTTGTTTGTAGGGATTACTCAAAGTGGACAGCAATGAGAAACACAATCATCTCCCTCTACCAGCCATCACACTTAGCCAACCTCATCCCAACCATGCAAACCTACATAGAATCTGCAACTTCTCTCTTGTCTAAATCAGAGGAAGAAGAGAGTGTAATCAGCTTCTCCGACCTCTCCCTCAAGCTCGCCACCGATATCATCGCCCAAGCCGCCTTTGGCTTCGACTTCGGCCTGCTCGGAAAACAATCATCGTCGTATGATAATAATAACAACAACAACAACGATAATGACGAAGTTTCGGAATTTATCAGGGAGCATATATACGCTACCACATCACTCAAGATGGATCTCTCTGGTTCCTTCTCTATAATACTAGCCTTGTTGGTTCCAATCCTTCAGAAACCTTTCAGGTAATGAGATCTTTGTAGAAATACGTTTAAGAAAGAGTATTATAAGATAATAGATCATATGGTGGTGTTTGGTAGTATAATTTAAAGAGTATTTAATCATGGATTTAGAGTAAATCAAGCCAAACATTAAAAAAAAAGAAAATTAAATCCAATGCTATGTTAAATCGAAATTTTTCGCATTCAGTCTTTTCTTCTACTGTTCCGTCTCTTTTAGGATGTAAATCGAGATTTAGTAAATCCGATTATGAGACGGATTTAAGATTTTCTTACTATCGTTGCTCACTAATTTATCTCCATCGCAGTGATGATTAGATTTACTAGATTTGATCAATCCTATTTTCTCCATAATTTCAGGCAAGTTCTGAAGAGGATTCCATGGACAGCAGACTACAAAATGGACAGAACCAACAGAAAACTAAGTAAGAAACTGGACTCAATCGTAGCCCAAAGGGAGAAACAAAAGGAGAGAGGAACTAAAAACTTCTTGTCCGCTATACTCAGTACAAGAGAAGAACAAAGGCAGCATTCAATAAAGAAACTCGATTTCATTAGCTCCGACTATATCAGCTCTCTTGCTTACGAGCACCTCCTCGCCGGCTCCGCCACCACCTCCTTTACTCTCTCCTGTGTTGTTTATTTGGTGTCCAAGCACGAGGAGGTGGAGAAGAAGCTCCTCAGAGAGATCGATGAATTCGGACCATCGGATCGAGTGCCAACGGCTGATGAACTGCAGCATAAGTTCCCTTATCTTGATCAGGTAGATTTTCTTACAGGTGTGTTTGAGCAGCTGCAGCTTTGTCGAAGCGGTTGTGCTTGCTAGTACTGATTCAGACTGCACTTAATTTTTGACATATTTATCACACAATTCTTATATATTTACATATCTAACTATTAAACTTTTGAGAGATTTTATATACATACCCCACAATTCTATGTACTTATGTATCCTAAACTTTGCCAATTATATTTATAAATAGATTATATAACTAATCATATTGGCCTCTCCATGATCCTCTTAATCCTACTTTCCATCTTCTGTTGGACTTCAGACAAAACCAGTCAGTGGACTGCAAGAAGTTGTAAATAGCAAAATTTAAATATTAAATATATAAATCATATTATTTTTTGTAATATCAAACTATAAATTTTCTTATTTATATAACAGTATCGATTTTGAACAACTTGCAGGTAATTAAAGAAGCCATGAGATTGTACACAGTGTCTCCATTAATTGCAAGAGAGACAAACCAGCAGATTGACATTGGAGGCTATCTCCTTCCCAAGGCAAGCAAAACCTCAATACATGGCTTTCACAATTATTCAAAAATTATGGGCCAAAATATTGTAATTAAATCATAATTAAAATTAATATTAAAATTGAGTATTATATGCTTAAATATTATTTATTTATAAACCTATAGGGGACATGGGTTTGGCTGGCCACAGGAGTGCTTGCTATGGACCCAAATCACTTCCCTGACCCGCATGTATTTCGGCCCGAGAGGTTCGACCCGACCCGCGAAGAAGAGAAGAGGAGACATCCACATGCACACATACCGTTCGGGCTCGGCCCGAGGGCATGCATTGGTAAAAAATTTTCCTTGCAGGAGATAAAGCTCACAGTGATCAATCTTTATAGAAATTACATTTTCAGACATTCTTCTAAGATGGAGTATCCCTTGCAATTTGAGTTTGGCATAGTTGTTAATTTCAAGCATGGGGTTAAGCTCCATGCAATTAAGAGGAGGAGATGGGAATGAAATGCTTATTGTGAATCTGTAATTTGTAAAATTTGTAGTTCCCTTTTGGTAATTATGCTCTGTTGTGTGTTGTGATTGGTAGAATCTGATGCGTGGTAATATTAGGATTTATTCAGCCATAATAAAAATGACCGTTTAAGGATATTGATCAGTAAGGTTTTTCACAAATATAATATTAAATAGAGAATAAATAAATAAAAGAAATTTATAATAACCAGAAAGCCGACTATAAGCAAACTCATTTTAGGACGCAGGGTTTCATACTATTCGTGAGTTAGTACAGCCCGATAAAGTCTCTAATTTTAGGAGAAATGTATTGGAGAAGATGATGGATGTGTTGCTAGAGGTCGTGTTTCTCATTCTATACTTTCTCAGGATTCCCGGGCAGCAAGAATTAGCTCAAAAAAAGATCTATGCTTCCCGATAATGAGAGAGAAAAGGGAGAGATGGGGGGCTACTTTTTTTTTTCCTTTTTATCCCCACTTGAAATATCCGTTCGACCACCCTTTCATACACGAATTCTATACTTTCTCAGGATTCCCGGGCAGCAAGAATTAGCTCAAAAAAAGATCTATGCTTCCCGATAATGAGAGAGAAAAGAGAGAGATGGGGGGCTACTTTTTTTTTCCTTTTTATCCCCACTTGAAATATCCCTTCGACCACCCTTTCATACACGAAAGAAAAAAGAATTTACATTTCGTACAATACTGTGTCTGCCCACGTTGTCTTGATGAAAAGATCACAATGCAAGTGTCGGACGACATCATAAATAAAGAGTGACATGTATTTTGAAGTAATAATGATTTTTTTCAAGTAATTCATTTTCCTCAAACTAACTCCACTTCGACAGGTGGGCCTTGTTATGTGAAAAAAATGCAAAAACAAATAAATTGACACAACAACAATCAAACACAATTGATTTGTATGGTCTGGCAGTGAATTGATTCGTCTACGGCCACGAAGAGGGAGATTTCACTGCCACTTGATGGAGAGAGAGAAAAAGGCTTGGGGTTGCAACTTTTACACTTCTCACAATAGTTTTCTCATGAATTCTGAGTCCTTTTTATAGATGATGATTAGAGCATATAAGTAAATAAAGTCAAAAGATCAAATTATCCATAATTACCAAAAACCCATAAATAAAACAATCTCCTCTTGAAATATCCCTCTAACCACCCTTTCGTACACGAGAGAAAAGAAATTTTACATTTCGTACAATACTGAGTCATCCCACGGTGTCTTGATGAAAAGATCACAATGCATGTGTATGACGACATCGTAAATAAAGATTGACTTATGTAGTTTGAAGTAATAATGATTTTTTTGAAGCAACTCATTTTTCCCAAATTAATTCCACCACTTTGACAAGTGGGCTTTATTATGAGAAAACAATGCGGAAACAAATAAATTGACACAACGACAATCAAACACAAATGATTTATGTGGTTTGACATTGAATTGATTCATTTACATATAGGGGGAGGGGGATTCCATGGACGGAGAGAAAGAAAAATGCTTGGGTTGCAACTTTTACACTTCTCACAATAGTTTTCTCATGAATCTTAAGTCCTTTTTATAGATAAGGATTATAGCATATAAGTAAACAAAGCCAAAAGACTAAATTACCCCCAATTACAAAAAAACCATAAATAAGACAATCTCCATCTAAATCTCTTACTTCCATTTGAGTGAGAGTTGACCAACTGAGCTCCAAAATTTAATTTAGTTGCATCAGGATTGTTACATTCGCGCCCTTCCTTAAGGAATCAAAATTTTTATATCAATGCCATGGTGACTGCTTCAATCCATACAAAGACTTGTCAAATTTGTAAATTAAGTATTTTGGGGCTCTATATCCAGGCGCTGCAACATGTAGAACTCTTTTTGCAATATTTCTTGTAGTATGCAGTCTTCACTTTGACATGTTTCAATATTAGATTGTACTGTGCTACAAAGTACTAAGAGAACACAGATTGAAGGATGCTTGACCTCTGGGGAGAGCACCTCTTCATAATCAATCCCTTTTCATTGCACAAAGCCTTTTGCCATTAATTTTACCTTGTACTACACATCAACTCCACTAGGTCCTTCCTTGTTTGCATACACCCATTTGCACCCCAAGAATTTCCTTCCCAGTGGAAGCTTCACCAACCTCCAAATATAATTCTTCTGAAGAGACTCCATCTCTGAATCCATTGCAGCTCTCCAGAGATCACAATTTGGACTCTCCACCGCTTCTTTATAGTAATAAAAAATTTATGTCTTTGTGGATGAACGTGTAAATTCAATGTGATCCCTCAATCAAGCTGGTTTTGGGACATTTTGGTGCTTGGTTCTACTCTTAACAATAGATTCTTGAGCATGAGTCTCATCCTCAGCATCTTCTTCCACCTCCTCCTGAGCACTATCAACGGATGCCTCTTAAACTATAACTGAATCAGGTATCTAAGCTTGAGTGGACGAACTCTATGGAACAAATGGTGTTGCTTCAAACTCCAACCTCTGATGCATATCTGTGGTCCCGGTACAACTCTTCACCTACTTTGAGTTTCAATTTTTCAATAGGCTTTCCTCGTCGAATAAAACATCCCTACTAATGACAATATTCCTTTCTAACTGATAATACAGCTTGAAGCCCTTGACTCCAAGCTTAAAGCCGACAAAGATCTCATTCTTTGCTCGTGGTTCTAGTTTATCATTGTGCACATGGTAGTAAGTTGGACACCTAAGAACTCATGTGCTCATTATCTCTAGTAGAATGTCCTGACCACATCTTTTTTGGGGTATTTTTCTCAATAACTGTACAAGGCAGACGATTCACCTAGTGAAACATATAATCTATGGCTTCGGCCCAACAGACTTTTTCTAACCCAGCATTAGATAACATACATTGAACTTTCTCTACTAAAGTCTAGTTCATTTTCTCCGCCACCCCACTCTGATGTGATGTCTATCAAACAATCAATTGATGCTCTATCATAACTCTCTGACACCCTTAAAAGAACGCATGCGAAGTGCATTCACCTTCATTGTCTAATCTGATATACCAGATATTTTTATCATTCTGAGTCTCAATTCACTTTTTCTAAGTTATGAAAATCTCTATCACCTAGCTTTTGCGCTTATAGTGTACACCAAAACATACCTGAATTTATCATCAATAAAGAAACAAAGTATCTCCACAACCTGAATGATGTTATCTTCGTCAGACCCCAAACATCTATGTGAACATGTTTTAAAATACTTTTTGTACTATGGATGACAGTACCAAAAGATACACTTGTTTTTTTGTTTGATTCACAATGTTAATAGAAATCAAGCTTGCAGATGCTCGTTGTTTTGATCAATCCTTGTTTTATCAAATCTTGAAGTGAAGCCTCTCCAGAATAAACTAGTCGCATATGCCACAACGTAGTGGCATCGGAAAAATCATCAATAACGACAATCATTTCAATCATCGTACTACACCGTAGATAATAAAGATTAGGATGACAAATTCCCTTCATAAAAACCATTGCTCCTCTACATATCCTCAAAACTTTTTCCTCAACAAAACACCCTTATAACCCCTAGACTTTGAAGCCCCAATTAACAAAAAATTCTTTTTGATATCTGGAACATGTTCAACATCTATGAGCTCCCTCACAGTACTACCATTCATCTTGATAAAGATAATCTACACCAATAGTATGACAATCTTGATTGTTGCCCATGGTCACTACACCACTATGCGGCCTCTTGAACGCACAGAAGCACACTCGATAAGGACAAATGTGATATTTAGCACGTGTCCAAAATCTAACAAAAATCATTTGTAAACAAACATTGACAAACTACAGATAACGATACATCTGAATCTGCCTTCTTTACATCTTTTCACAATAATATTGACTTTCACCTCAGATGCAACTTCCTTTCCCTTCTCCTTCAGCTTCAGACATTCTTTCTTCTAATGACCAGTCTCTAAATTAAAAACATACTAATTTTTTCCCAAGATTGCATTCATGAGACTTGCCCCACTTTTGAGAAGTGATGTCATTGTTGCATTTCTTTGTTGAATTCTTCTTCTTCTTCTTCTCAGATCTGCTGCATTGGAGTGCAGGTGCCTCAGTTGACTCTATCTTTGCAGACTCTTTGTCCTTTCAACTGAACTCGTTATTCATAATTCAAGACCTATTTCCCATGAATGAGTGTTATCGTGAAGTTTTTGTACTAATTTGAGCGTGAATCCAACCAAAGAAGTGCTTCGGCTTCATCTCCAACCTCTTCTTCTAACAGATCTACTAACAGCTTTGTAAAGTCATTAAAGTGTTCATCAATAGTAACTTCCGGTCTCATTTGAAATCTATAGAGTTAATGTTTCATATGGAGACTATTCTCTATATTTTTGTGAGATATTTGTTCTCCATCATCCTCCACCATTTTCATGTAAAAGTTTTCATCATCACCCATATTTGATATTCTAGATCAAACACTTTCAGATCAAGCAACAAACACTTTGTTTTATCTTAAAAAAAATCTTTCTCTGATATCTTTTCAAGGCATTTCTTGCTAAACAAGAATTTTTCTAGATTCAAAAAACACAACGCATGCATCACCTCATATTGACACTAGTCAAAGTTCCATTTGGCGTCCAAATTTGATGCAGATTTTGACGGGATGCATAACCACATGATGGATTGATTTTTTTCATAATTATAGTGAACGTTGAAGAACCTGACACCATGCTCTCATTCATTGCTTTGACCGTTAAAATCTCTTTCCTAACAATATTTCTCTTGCAGAATACCCGGAAAAAAAAATAACAAAAAAAAGGTTCACATGAAAAAATTAAAAAAAAATTTCTTTCCTTTTTTTCTAAAAAAATATATGTATAATTATTCTTTCCACTTTTGTTTTCTTTTTCCAAAAATTCTTGTTTTTTTTTTCAATTCCAAAATTCCTTTCCTTTTAAAAAAAAATATTTTTTTTTCTTTCGATTCCCGAAATTGCTCTTTCCAGAAACTTTTTTTATTTCCCCTTTCACGAAATTCCCTCTTTACTTCTAGAAATAAATTGCTGCTATTTTTAGAAAAAATCTTCTCTTCAACGAGAGATTATTACATCCGTCACCCGCAGCGGAGGTCAGACCTTCACTATATCACGGTCGTCGCCCGGATGCAGCTCGTCGTCCGGGCGACGGACGTAATATTGTTTTCTCTTTGACACGATATTCCATTTTGTTTGATTCATGGGATCCCTGCCTCCAGAGTGAGCAGACTGCGCCGGAGTTACTGGAACCACCGCCAGAACTGCCATCTGTCGCTGCCTGAATTGCCACCGTCTCCTTGCTATTGCGATCTTTCTTGTCGAACGCCAAATCTTCGCTTCCAAGCCGCTAACCTGTCGCTAGCCTGCTATCAAACCTCTAAATCTAGTGGCAAAGCACCTTGAACCACATGCTGTAAAAAATGCCGGCAACGTACTTCAAATTTGTTGTTGTCGATGTCGAACCACGCTCCAATCACAAACCCAAAGATCTGATATCAATTATTATGCAAAAACAAAGCAAAAACAAAGAAATTCACACAACAACAATCAAACACAAATGATTTTACGTGCGTTGAATTGATTTGCTTACATCCACAAAGAAGGAGATTTCATTAGCACCAAATGGGGAGCAAGAAAAAGGCTTGACATTACAACTTCTATATTTCTCATCATAACTCTCCGATGAACCATAAGTTTCTTCTATAAAGGAGGATTAGGGCATATAAGTAAATAAAGCTAAAAGATAAAATTGCTTTTAATTACAAAAAAAATCATAAATTCAATAGGTTTAGCACCATAGTGGCATGATCTTCAGATATAGGCCTTCTAAGCCAGTAGGTCCCATTGACCTGAACATTGTACCCTCGAAAAAGACTTGTTTAAGCATTACCTATAAAGTCATATTTGGGTGTATATATATTACGTATTTACCACCACATTCCTATGTATTTACATATCTAACACCTTAATTTTCCTTGTTGCATTTACACCACCCAAATCTTTCATATCACACAAAAAAAAAAAAAAATTCACCATTTTAACGTTTAAAAGATGAAATACACATTTTCATGCATAGTTATGTTAGTATGCCTGTTATAATTAATATTTAGATCTGTAAATTCATAGAACTTGAGTGGTATATATATATAAATCTTTCTTCTAAAAATAGAATTTTTAGAGAGATGTATCCATTCTCTTCACCTAAAGAGTAGCTCAATATACATAGGTATAGTGTTCCCTTAGTTACAAGCATGATGAGAAAAAATGAGAGATCAAAATAGAAAAACAAAATCCACTACACATTTAACTCGATCAATATCAATTGACCAAAGAAAATAGAAAGACTTGCAACCATTCAAAAACCCATATTTCACAACTCAACGCCACTCCAATCAAAACTATATCACAACAAAGTAAAGGATTACAGCTCGCCAAAGTCCCCAAAACCATACTGTTAAAAAAGAAGCAAAACATGGAATTCTCTCACACTTCACAGTATCAGTCTTCTTCGTCCATTTCCCTCAGTACTTCCAGTCCTCAACCAACTCTTCTGCTTCGCCTTGGTCGATTCAGTCAAATTCATATAACTCGGCTTTTTTATATTGCTATCTTCCGTTCTGTCTGACGTGAATAGACTCATAGCAGAGATTGGTGTTGACAAGTATACAGAGGAGGATGGAGAACTCTCACACAAATGAAACTCAGAACTTGGCAATGAAAAAAATCTCACTTTTGCAGAAACTTTTGTGGTGATATGGTTCTTCCTGATATTAACAGAGCCAGCTTTGCAGTTTCTGCATTCAGCCTTCGAAAGCTCTTCCATCAATCTATTCTCCCATGGTTTTGCAGCCACCCATCTCTCTAACCAGCTCCAGTTCCCATTTCTCTTCTCAAAATCATGTTTTTTTATGGGTCTCGTGTTTGAGTTTGATACAAATGGCTGGGAGAAAGGAAATGATTCTTACATTAATAAAAAATGGATTGGCAGAAGTATATTGGTTCCCATTTCTCTTCTCAAAATCATGTTTTTTTATAGGTCTCGTGTTTGAGTTTGATACAAATGGCTGAGAAAAGAAAGGAAATGATTCTTACCCAAATAAAACATGGATTGGCAAAAGTATATTATGAAAAGGAGATGGTTTGATGAAGAAGAAGAAGACCTGACGTGCGAGAGAGTAAGCAATGGCCCTTTCCCTCTTGATTGCACCATCTCGCCTCATCTGAAACTTTGCCTTAATTTGTGCTAACGTGGCTTGGCTGTCACACCAGCCAACCTGTAATGAATACGAGAAGGCATAGGATCTGAATGTTTTTTAAGTTTGAATAATTGTTTCTGTTTTGAACAGTTTGTAGTTAAAAAATGTTATTCCCTCTGAAATGAATTCAAGCAATGAAAATGATACCAAAACTGTTTCAGAGCTACTGCATCAGTTATCTTATGGCATAGGAGCTTGGGGGCTGAGACATATAATTGCTTGTTCGAATTTTGTGCAAGGGTGTTAGATTTTTAAATAAATTAATTTAAGCAATATGGGAGTTCATGCCTCCAAAGACAGTGTGTGCTAACTTTATGTTTAGTCATACATGGTAATGCCAAATAGCAAAAGCTTAGGAAGTATGGCATAAAACAGTGTGTGCTATTTTAGCACTAACGCAGATCATTAAAATTTATGATTAGATTATTAATAATTTCATAATATAAGATAAAAATATTCTGATACCAAAAGAAGCTATCAATGCCATATAAATAAAACATACTATCGCTTAAACAAAAATGAAAGTTCTTGCAAGAAGCATTCGTTTCTTGTTGAATCCTTCAAAGAACTTTGATCTAAATTTAACATTGTTCTATGGCTTACAATAACAAGATAATTCTAGAAATTGAATAATATAAACAAGAATAGACGAATAAACTCAATGCAACAATATTTTACGTCGATATTGCTAACAATAAGGCAAATTAGATGAAGCTAAATAAGGCAATAATCAAACATATAGGTAGCTCATGTAACCCTAAAATCCCAAAAGCTTTTATATAAAACGAACAAAGCTAAATAAAGCTAAAATAAATCAACCTTCACAAAAAGTTTAAAATAAATTAACAAAATAACACGCTGATGCTTTGCTTTCCTTCTTTGCAATGTAAATGTCATTTTTGTTTAATTTATTGATATTTATGAATATAACCTTGCTTGGGTTTATAAAGCAAAATCCCATGAATATCAATGCAAAATAAAATGAACTATGTTTCTACTAGCCCAAGTTGGCTCAACCTAAGCTCAATTCTACCCATCCTTAAACACCTATTGTGAATAGGATATGGGACTACATTGGTCCCCAGAAAAGCAATTGCCACCAAAGGTCCTACTCAATACTTCACAGCCATTAAGTGTAACTTGTGGAAACAAAGAAGATTTCACTGTTAAGAAAAAAACCCCAAATTATTATGAATGCAATGTTCCACCCTATCAGCACCAATTGTTTCAATTCATCTTTGTGTAATGAAGAGTGCTTTTTTCTTTTAATATTGAAAGATGGCAAAATTGATTTAATCCAATTTCTAAACCATTGAAAAAAATATATAAGTTTTTTGTGCCAATCCAGTGAACAAAACATCAAATGAACATCAACATAAAGACCATGATACAACTTTAAATTATTTGGATCTTTTAATCATTTGTACAAAATTGCCAAAGCAGTGCAAATGCTACTTAAGCCTCTATGCTGATAGTCTCCAAAGAAGGTAAGGCAGTCTCAAGTTATTGGATTGACACATTACATACAACATAAAATTTTTAAGTATTTAGATATCTAATTAAGGTTGTTAATAAACCAAAGCACTCGAGGAGCAACTTAAACTTGGTTCAATCAATACTCAATCAAGTTTGTCCAAATTATTAAATAAACAAGTTTCAACAAATTTTAAAATCTCAAAGATTAAATGAATCAAACTTAAACACAACTCAAATTATTTATTTATGTTCACGAACAAATTATTGTTCAATAAGTAATTAAATACTCTATAGTAAGTTCAATGCTAGCTTATATGATATATGATATATTGTTTAAACAAAATTTAATTGAATAAAACTTATTTAATTATATATTTATTAATCACATATAAACTTAATATCAATATGCATCATAAATTAATACGATTCATTCTTATTTATTGATTTCAATGAAATAGTATATTAGTACTTATTCATATTATTTGATTGTAAGAAAAGTATGACTTATTATTAACTTACTTAATTGGTGTAAGTTGACTACATACTAATTTAAAAATATTTCAATTGCTAATTTTTCAGATTTATAAAATCTCTTGTTATTAAAACTATATAAAAAACCAACTACTCAATTGAATTTTAACTTGCTTATTAACATATTAAAGTACTCATTTAATTAATATTAAAATATCAGTACAAATCAAGTAAGGTTTTTAATAATTTTAAATAAGCCAAGTCTGAGTATATACGTGAAAGCTTGACTTGAGCTCGAGCGGAACATGAGTAACTTACAATATAGCCAAGCAAAGTTCAATCCAGACCCATTTTCAGCTCAACTTGACTCGATTACAGCCCTATATCTAATATCTAAACTTTTATATTTATTTTCATACCACTTTAAGGTTTAAATCACATCAAAGGATTTGTATGAAAAGATATATTTTACTTTAAATAAGTAAAATTTGTGTTATTTTTATGTGATTTAAAAATTTAAATATTATATAAGTAAATAAATGATTTAGGTAATAGATATGAAAATATACAAGAATTTTGTGGCATTTAATATTATTTTGTGGGTTTAAGCCTTAAGCCTGAAACAAGGCCTTGAAGCTTTTTTCCTTGAACAAATATTCTTGTGGTGCCTAAACGTTATTGTTAAAGGAATTTACATCATCACACAATTTTATGCATTCACATATGTACCTATATAATACTCAAATTTTTATATCAAATAGAAAACATCACTAATCATAACTTATTAAAAGCAAAATACACATTTTCATGACATTTTTTGATCCAATTCAAAAACTAAAGTCGCATTTAAGTAAACATAAGGATCTAGGAGTTAGATATATAAATACTCAAGCATTTTGAGTTATATATGTAAATCTCCTAATTTTTACAGACAACAATTAGAAGCCTATTTCCATGGCAGCACTCTGCAAAAAGGATTTTGATCTCAATAATATAGCTATAGCAATCAAGATTTAACAAACAACATAATACATGCGACCAAATCGCCAGCAACCCATCTAGCAACAAAATGCTAAACTTTCAACCACCATGATTAACATCTTACTTTCAGCATTTCATCAAACAAAATAAGCGCAAGATTACCTCTGCCTCTTTCAATGGATCCATTTTATTTCTCTGGTTCTCAACCATCTTCTTCCCACCCTTCCCTTCAGCTGAGAATCTCATTCGCCGCGCTAGAACCAACTCCTGAACTCGAAGAACAGCACGCATACATCTGAAGGTCACCGCCGCCTGTTTTCTCACTTGATAACCTCTCACCAAAGCCTGAAGCCTCACAATCCCTTTCAGCGCTTTCAATGCTCTTCTTGCCTAAAATTCAAACAAAAAAAAAAAAGCTTTTTTTTTTCTTTATTTACAAAGCAAAGAAAGCATCTTTTAAGAAAACTAAACTGCTTTCAATGCTCTTCTTGCCTAAAATTCAAACAAACAAAAAAAAAAAGCTTTTTTTGTTTCTTTATTTACAGAGCAAAGAAAGCATCTTTTAAGAAAACTAAACTTGTGAGAGTTTAGATGTCGCACAAGGATTCCACGGTACATTGTCTGTATCCTGATTGCAGCAAAGTTCTGTTTTACGGCCCTTAAATCCTTTACTGGCTCTCGAACTACGGCCACCATTGCTGAGGTGAAAGCTTCGGCGGCCATTGATGAAGCATCAGAAGCTTCTGAAGTCGACGGATGACTATTACTATATGAGCTCCGCCATAACATTTTCCATTTGTTTTTCTTAATCTTTTTAGTTTCACCGCCCTTCTTCTGCTTCAAAAACATTTGAAGCACAGACATCAGCTGAAATGAGAACAGAGATTGTAATGAAGAGATTGGAGGATAAATTTGCTTACAAAGTTGTCATTTTTCAGATTCTTTAGGCCGATGAGCAACTTTATCCACTTCCTTGAGCCACCCATTGGTTGGTAGCTTGTGTTTCAGGCAAAAATGGGAGATTTAAGAGATGGAGGGAGCCACGGAGTTGAGAATTTGGGAGAAAAATGGGACCTTGAAGGAGATGATGGGCTACAGAGAGGAGGACCAGCTGGTGGGCCTAACGCAGATATCGATTTTGACGACAATCATGATTGAATTAGGTCAAAAATAAACTTTTTAAGTCTATTAAATTTTGAAGTTGTTTAAACTTCAATCAATGATTCGATGATTTAACAACCTCTCACGTGTTTCTAAGAACTGACATATTTGTGTTATATATATATATATTCTTCTTCTTTTTCTTAAAATGATGATCATAATATTATTAGATGAGCAACAACCTCTCACGTGTTTCTAAGAACTGACATATTCGTGTTATATATATATTTTTCTTCTTTTTCCTAAAATGATGATCATAATATTATTAGATGAGTTTATTATATGAGTCCTATCATTTTTAGGTATGCTAAATATTTTAGTACCACACTCTACACACAAAGAAATCGAACCCGTGATTCGAACCCGTGATCTGAGGGGACTTATGAACTTTAGAAAAACTGCGCTGCCAACAAACCATGATACGTACACAATAATTTAACTGGTCCTTATTCCTAACATATTTGTGTTATATATAATATATATATATATTAAGGAATCTTAAATATTCATGGATAGTTCGGTTCCGAATAAGATTATTTTTTAAACCATAAGGCTTTTAAGAACTCTTAAATGGCAATTAAATGACTGGCCTCAAATAAACTAATATAAATTTCCCCAAGTTTAAGGTATGGTTAGTTCAAAATACTAAAATAGTACAATTCAATAGAGGATCCCATGACTTAACATTAAAAGTTAGTTGAGGTGTCTTTCATTCCAGTTCTTCTAGGTTTTCATATGTCATTTTTAGGAATATTATTAGATGATTGTAAGGTCATGCATTTTTCAAATATTATGGTGCAATGTTACAATGATGATGATGTATCCCACTTCATATAAAATTCATATGATTCATTTACTTTTTCTTAAATCAAAATCATCATAAATTTAAGAAGATTTGTTTTTCTTGAAGAAGAAATGAAAAATAAAGCACATGATGCTTAAGCAAATTTGAAAGGAAATACAAAATTGGTGATTCAAATTGATCTGACACAACAACTCAACTTAGCCCAACTCCAAAAATTCAAATTTAGGTTGACTTGATTAATTTTCACAAAATCCCAACAAGTGTAATTTTTCAGGTCTAGTACTGGTTGGCTTACAAACTAGAAATTAACTTGAATTTGCATGAATTGGAATCGAAATTGATCCATATTTGATCCAAAATCGTTGAATTGTATATATTTAACAGATTATGTGATTAGTTAAGTTGGAGGGGAGGTCAAACTTTAGGTTAAATTTTTTACTCGGGTGATTTGCGTTAAGTGCCCTTGATTAATGCCTTTCACAATTGTGGACCCGCATTCGCTCTATTTTTACTAGGCGGTTGGATCGACCTTCTTGATTGATTGGATGCATGCAGTATGCGGGTACAAAAAGTCAAGGGAGGAGTAATGCCTTGTTGTCCAATGTCCACTAGTGTTTGCATAGATGGAAGGAGTAGGTGTCACTGGAGGGTCATTTCCTTATGAGGATTATACATTGGGCTATATCTATGGGTATGTTAAGCATTATAGGCTCCTTTTGACCGCATTCTAACTACCCTCCAACCCACTAATTTTAAGGAAGATTTACATACCTATTACAAAAATTTCTATGTATTTACATTTAATACATTTTGTTAAATATGAATCTATCCTATGAATCACACCTAATGAATAGAATGTTGAAAAGTAGAAAGAGGAATAAAGAGCAAAGTATTGAGCTGTTGAATGAGGGGATGTGTAATCATTTATTCATGAAATTGTCTTCTATTTATAGACAAAATTGACATAACATACGAAATTGCATTTATACATGTACTTTACATAGGAATCCCACATGTTATTATAGGAATTTTACCCTTGTGGGCCTGGGGCCTCACCGTTCTCTAGCTTAGTCGGCTGGAACGAGTAGGGCATCAAGGAGCTTTGCCGACCGAGTGGATCAGTTCATATTGTTGGGTGAATGGATCTGTAACGCTGTCAGTTGACTCTCTGGTCACAGATCAGCGAGATCTAATCGACCAAATTTTGCTGATTGATATGCATATTCCACCTTTCAGTCGAGTGTTATAATCTCTCATCTTCTTATCAGTCAGACATTAAAAATATTCATATTTCAATCTTTCAGTCGAGCTACTTATTTATGTCTTTGATTTCACATCTTTTATATATTTATATTTCTATATGATATGTTATATATTATTATTTTCTATAAATCATTTATATAACACGTTCAATCCTGATCGAAAGGTTTTCCAGCGGCCAAGAGAAAAACACTCAAGAAATCAGTCTTTGGGTAGACCTACCCCTAGATTTGACAACTAAGGAGCAGAGAGCTAATGCAGGGATCCTAACAACGGCCAACCATCATAAGGATTAGTGTGAGACCGCGATCCACAAAAGCATGGGACTCAACCTTGACTTGGGAATGGATAAGAGAAACATAACATGTCTCGAGGGAGGGGAGAATTCCATACAACCATAGGGATGAATATCTTTTTAGCATACAAAGGAAGAGAAACTTAATCTCTACTAAGGAGCTTGTGTCGATGAGGTGAAGCTAAGCCATCAGACAGAGGGTAAATCATTGTAATTTGACAGATAGTCTTCCTTTAGATAATAGGATCCTAGTGGAATGGTTGAGGCTTGTTATATTATTTTGATGGTATTAAAGGATACGACTAAGTGATCCCGGTATGACAGTCTTTGGGGACCAGTTTCTTCCTCGGATCAACATCGTGATGGCAGATTTGGGCAACTCTTCATCTATGTTTGGGATGAGCCGCTCAAACTGATAGTGCTTCAACCCCTCTTCTGATTTGGGTAATCTCGGGTTTACTATATCCGATTGAATATCTAATAAGTTGATCCACCTTTTGGTGGGCCCTCTTGAATTAGAATCCTTTCTCCGGGACCGTTAAGCCTACTCAAGATTTGTGCTAGCATAATTTATGTGTGCCTATTTAATTCATCAATTCCCTTGCTTCTTAAAAGTCATTTGCGATAAGAACAAGAGAATTTAATGCACAAAAATAAATATCATTTATGATTGTTCAATGATTTAATAATTGTACTCTCTTGATTTTTATGCCCTTCAATCCCTAGAAATAGGTCATGAAAGCTTTGCTTTTCTTCATCTTCTTTTTCGCTTCATCCCCCGTCCCATCCGATATCAGTCTGTCGTTGTAGTGAATAAATAAGCCCCGATATTTGACCTTTACAACAATTTTGTATACTGCAGAGCCCTTAGAGACATTAGAGAGGATGATCTGCTATAGGGTAAGAAGAGAAAGAAGTTGGCGGTGGGGAAGTGATCGATGTCTGGTCTGAGGAATCAGAAGGGATTCTTTGATTTGCTTCATAATCACTACCGAGAGAAGATCTAGGCAGAGGAAGTAGGTCAATCGAGCATAATACTGAACACTCTGGCAGCCCCGCCTGTGGAGAAAAGGGTCTTAACTACCTGTCAGACCGGTCTAAAAGCTGTCAGTGCCTTGACATCACCTGAGGCATAAACGACCATCTTTTGGGAGAGGTTGGAGGCTCTCAATTAGTCGATGTTCGAGTGGGTTGTGGATAAAAAGGTAAATATATTTGAGAAATACTCTTATTTTAGTTAACCAAACATAAGTGAAATGGGGGTAACTATATAGAAAAAAGTGTTAATACAAGTTATGTACAAATATTAGAGGTTTCTAAGAAAATTCAAGCTTATTAAGTGGTTTATGTATCATGAATATTTTATTTACCTTTTTATTAAATATATCTAAGATCTTAAACTTAATTCTACCATTATTTACTTGGAAAGGAGAATCATATAACCACGATATATAAATAGACAAGCCGACGACTCCGAGTATTTAAAAAGAACCAAAAACAAAAAACTTTATAATATTTAAAGAAATGCAAAACAAAAAAATTATAACACTATAAAGTGAAATTTCAAAGGCAATTCCACACCCTCGTAAACACAAATTTAGTTTGCTGAAGATCACGACAATAAAATGAGGGATTATAATGAGAGCATAAATGATGATGAGAGTAAATGGTTAAATGAGAAAAGAGTCTAAAAGTAAAAAATGTATGCCAATTTAATATTCTTTTAAAATTTAATTTAGCCTTAATTATATTATTTTTATTTTCATGTTCTTATTTCATTTATATTAAAACTAGTCATTAATTTTAATTTATTAGATTGATACTTACATTATAACTGATAATGTATGTGCACTTACTCGTGACATAGTGGTTAAGGGTACAGTTTCCCACCATAAAATCACGAGTTCGAATCACGCATATTACCCATTGGGCTCACCTTCCCCTATATTTACTCAAATCATTAATTTCAAATTACTCGCTTTTTTTGTTCTTGTGGACACCTCATTTTTAAAATATAAAGTGAATCAATTTCAATGGAATTACTAATATATTCTTCTTCAAGAAAAAAAAAAAACTTTGGATTTGCATAAATAACTATCAAATATGTATATTTTGATATTTATTTACAATGAAATGAAGAACTAACATTAAATTTTTTTTACAAAATATTGCAATTTATATTTATACTAGGAGTTTCTTGCCAAAGAAAATAACCCATCCCATAAGTTAGGGGTAGAAATCAATAAAACTACAGATATTTATGCTTAGATGGCATATCCATTACTAAAACGTTGGCACAATATTTATGCCTTGAATCCTCTAATCTTTGCGAGACTTGTTCAGGTTTGAATCCTTTGCACTGGGGTAATCGTATGTCCTCTTAGTTAGATGAGCCCCCTTTATGCATGGAGCCTCAAGTTTACGAAAAATTATTGATGATCCGTATGTGCGGATGAGTGGGTGTATTTAACTTAGTTTGTTTACGATCTTAAGATGTGTTTGTTCGAATGTGGCTGTACAAAATCTTAGTTCAAAAGTTATTGTAGAAAATCTGTTGTTCAGAAACTTGTGCTTCAAAAACAGTCTATCTGTTTGAAAAATACAATTTTGAAAGTGTTGTCTGTGAATTAATGTCTGTAATAACCCTTAATAAATATCATGTAAGCATCATAAGTATTTTAAGTATATGTAATTTTACCTTTTGAATAGCGTAACCCAAATAAACAGAAATACAAAAGTAAAGTCAAAATGAAATTATTGAATAAAAAGAATGCTAGATTTTAGAAAAAATCATTTATTTTTTTGTAAGAGTTTAGATATTAGTTAAATTTTAAATAGAAATAATCTTGAAAATGCATATATATTTGGAATAAATCTAATGATAATTACTCAGATTATTTTTACTCACAATACCTTTATCATGAAATTATTGAAGGAGAATCTTGACTCAAGTTTTGGTCCTCAAAGTAGTCATACAAAGTTCAACATAATATCTTCAACATAAACTGCATCTCAGTGAGACATACGAGTTCAGTTACTAATAAATCCTACAATAGTACAACTTGTCTTCCAAAAATATATTAACATCATCAAAACAAATACAGTGCTAACAACAATAACATAAATGTTATGATCAGAAAATCAAACAAAAGCCAGGTCTTGATAAAAAATTCCAAGTTTTTGAGATTCTTCTTCACCGTATCATCAGCTACACTTCTATCTTCATCACCTTGCTCCAAGATTACATCGCCTAGTTCATCCACTCATTGAAAAATTTTGCAATTTTGGTTCATTAGATTTTTTAAACATCTGTAGACTTTTCTGTCCGCATTATCACCTTTCTAAGTAGTGAAAACAACTCATAACAGGTTGCAATTGTCAAGAATTGCAAATCAGGAAAGGTGGCTAGGCAAGGGTAAGAGATATATATATATATATATATA